TCTGTAATAAAATGTTCTTTGTCCTGAGGCTGTTTTAAAAAAAGGTATATCAAGCTTTTGGCCACTCCTAGTTGTACGCTTGGTAACTTGCTCGCGGGTGATGAATTGTGACGTCAGATATTTGGGGGCGTGTCCGGAAATGCATTTAAAAGCCATGGTAGCTTGGCGGTAGTATAGTTGGTCCTTAACYGGTAACCAAGACAAACTTTTTAAGTGGGGAGTTACATGATCGTACTTTCTCGCGCCACTAACGATTCGACATGCGTAGTTCTGCACAGCCTGTAATTTCCTTATATTTTTCTCTATGGTATTAATATAATGACTTAGTGAAACAAGGCACAAGTCAGTTCACGTATACACTCATACTAACCTGGAAAAGTTCTTGCCAAGCTTGTAATAGACCACGTTCAAACTTTGCAAGTTCATATTCCGTTTTAAACCAAACAAACCAAGATGATTCTGTGCCTGCTAATTCACTACGTTCAAACCCCTGAAAGGACAAAACAACATATAAATTTAGTACAACAGGGCTATCGTTGAGTGATGGTAAAGAAAACAGCATTAACTCTTCCTTATTGTTTCGACCTGGCGTGAAGTTTTGTCTTGAACAAGAGCCATAAATTATTAGTTAATATTACTTGGTTTCATTGTTAGTTCAACTCTTTTGGGAGGATTCAGAACGTGTTTCCTCAAGGAGCTTGAATCAACCAGTAAAGAACGTTTCATTTATTTCCACAATGCTTAACATGAAACTCACTGCATCTTGAGGGAAGACACAATCTACCACAATGTTAAATAGACACAAGGAACCTAACTTAAACTACTTACAAGATATATTATCATTCCACTATTATGCCATTTTACCACATTACTTCAAGAAAACGAGCAAAATATGAGCCTGTGGATCACCGTAGTGTCGTATTTTGTGTTTTTTTTTCATTCACACACATCTTATGTGATCATTATACCACTTTTGGATGATGCAAGATGACGCTCATTGCGTGTATTTTTCTGAGCCCTGAATACTACCCGAATTGCAAAATGTCCACACGCATTGTGTGTATACATCGATCAATGTTTCTTATGACTGAAGAGAACACTTACCAAACAGTTAATGTGGCACAACAAGACTTATGGATTACTAAAGAACAAATTACCAAAATACAATAGTTCCTGACATCATTGTCCAGAAACAGTCTAGTAACACTTTCCACAGAGCATTCACTCAGGAGCTCAAATGTTTCCTCTCTGGTTGGGTTGGTAAGACAAGCCACAATCTTTTGGACAAAAGAGAATATCAACTTAACCACTTCTCAGTTACGAGGTAAAAAAAAGAAGAATGTATGACTGACTACATCAGCCATCAAAATAAAAGGCCGATTACAATACAACAAAATCTGTTCTACACGCGAATATATGAAAGATCATATATTTGGGTATGATCTCAAAAGATCATTATATTTAAGCAGTTGTGAAACTATAAAGCCTGAAAAACATTCAGGCTAGATTGGGGTTTTGAACCCATGACCTCTGTAATACCAGTGCAGTGCTCTACCAACTGAGTTATCAAGCCAACTGGGAGTTGGTCAAGTTGTCAGTTCGTAATATACCGGCACATGGTGAAGATACAAGTGAATATATGAACTCACAACTCACAACTTGACCAGCTCCCAGCTGGCTTGATTGCTCAGTTGGTAGAGTACTGCACAAGTATCACAGAGGTTAAGGGTTCAAATCCCGGTCAGGCCTGAAATTTTTTCAGGCTTTAATTTCACAGCTGCTTAGGTTGTGTATATAACTGCGATGATCAATCATGTCTTCATAAGATCTTTCCTGTAATGGTTGACTGTCTGGAGTCTCACTAGATAACACGATGTGGTAAAGATTTCACTCCAACTGAAAACGAAAGAGTGTAACAGATTAAAAATCTATAGTTGTAAAGGAAAAGGTAGAAGTGAATATCCAGGTAGATACTATTAATCTGTGGCAGTTCTGTCACTCCAGGCACAGCAGGTAATTACATACCTTGACATTAGTGAGGATGAGACAACAGGGCACGCAATTCATCAATGTGCAACTCATTTCGTCTTCACTGTCACACTGAGGACACATAACACCATCAGTCACAAACGCACAGGTGCATGGAAAAAAAAACTTTTAAAAACATTAATAAAAATTCATATTGTGAAAGAAGGGAAGCAATTTAACAAAGATTATTAATGGTATCTGGTCGTTTAGCCCCAGAGTCATAGCCACACGGTGACACTGCATTTATTTAATTTTGTGTGCATGAATGGGTGGTTGCACAGATGGACAAACACACTCAAGTGAATCAATTTACAGAGAAAAAAGATCAGCTCTTTATCCCCACCGTTTCAGCAACAGCCTGGCAAAGTCTAAAAATCCAATCAGTAGCATCATCCTCGCTAAAGGCAGCAAGAAGAATTAATGGTGATCCATCCTCAGCTACAATCTAAGACAAAACAGTGGAAGCCAAAATCAATTGCACTTTGTTTGAGTGATAATGCCGATGTTTCAGCTATAGTAAAAGGGTCTTCTCCAAAGAGTTGCACTAATATACCTAAAGAAAGCAAAGTCAAATTGTACCTCAAAGGCATGTGGGCGTTCAGAATCATTTACTCTTCGACAACCTCCACATCGTGATCCTCTGCAACAAAATCACATGACTGTATGGTAAACAGAGGAAAAACTAAGAAAAATGAGCCACTGCCCAAATCCATTTTCAATATGAAAATCTCCATATTACAGCTCACTTAAGCTTACTAAACCCCTGGCCTGAACAGCTTTATTTTCCGCATCCTACCAGGGTTGACCAATTTCACTGGCATTTTCTGCACAAGACAAATATAAAGCTTTCTCAAAGTAAAGGTAATGGTAGCCTCAGGCAAAATTGGACATGCGAAGACAAAAATCAGGTGTTATCCACCCATAGGAACATTAGCAGCCAGAAGTGCATGCAGCCTAATTCAGAAACAGGTAGCATGAAAAAGATCACAATGCGTACATGTCTGGATTTGAGTTACAGTACTTGCAATCACAGTAAAGTACGTTTAATACTTTTTGAGCCTTGGGTCATGGCTTTTTCAAATGAAAATGTGGTCGGAAGCCAATGCTTAGTATTTTTCCAAATGCCACCATATGATCAATGTGTGTTATTTTGCACCAGTATATTGACATCCTATCTTGAAATAAATTTAAGTTATAATTACCTCCTTTATGATTTCAAAGTAAAATTAATTTTGAAGAACTATACCATGGCATCTTATGATTACACTCGTCTAAGTTTTACCTTTGACTGGTGTAAGACAAATACCTCCAGATGAAATATCTGAAAATTTGTTACCCCATGCCAGATTATCAAGAGTTCAATTGTATACCCTGTCTCAGACCAGAAGTGAAGGACTAGGTTTACTAGTAAGTTTTCTCAAGATAACAAATGTATGTGGGGTAATTCCTCAGTATTAGCAGCACCTCTCAAATACTTAAAATATAGTTAATCATAGTCACTTGTATTTCTGTAGTAAATAAATAAATAAATAAATAAATAAATAAATAAATAAATAAAGACGTGAAAGGGAGGACAGGTGAGCTTGTCAAGCTAGGCTTTTCAGCTCGCCATACAGGCATCGGCGTGTGGGTGCTGACCCAGCAGCTCTCCAACATTGTGAAGCCTTTTTGAGAGAATGTAGCAGCAGTTGTTTTGTTTTACACACTGTCGGCCAAGACCATGAAGGCCATCTTTGAAGAATGTGCTGGTGAAGTTCTCTTATCTTTTGTTCTCTCTTCGCGCCCATTACAGGATTAAATTGGTTATGAATTGAAAAACTGTTTTCAGAATAATATATCATGCAAGGAGAACAAGTTATCACCAGATAATTTGGCAGAATTAGCCAGCGTTCTAGGAGCAGAGCTGACAAGTACACCGGCCAGTAGTATTGTGACTGACATTCTAGCCCTCCGTGAACAGCTTGTAATACTTGTTTCCACAGGTAAAGCCAAAGAAGCTGTGGACATGCAGGTGACACACCTACAGGTGAAGCGCTTGATTGACAAAAAATGTTATAAAGTATTACAAAAGGTACAAGACCTTTGTGGATGCCAACACCACTGAAACCTTTGTTGACAGCTTTCTGTCATTGTACACCAGAGCGGTTGGTATGTTTGTGCCGATTAAAATCGTCGAAGCTCTGCAGAATGATCTCAGAAAAGATTACATCATTAACAAAGAGTTGATTGCCTTCGCGGGAAACCTTGCGTTGAAATGTGGATGGCTGCTCACGGTTTTCAACAAAACATATCGATTTCAGTCCGTGTCCAGTGACACCCCCTTCTTGTGATGCAGACGGCTATCTACTTGATGGTTTTGATGAAGTGCCAGTTCTTGTGCAATCCTCAACAACTGCTGAATAATTAGTCAACTTTTTTTTAGTAATTGCTGAACAACCCCAATTAAATATTTTTTTATTCACTCATTATAAGAAATGTACACCACGCAACCTACACCTGGCGGACCAGTTCCTCCTCAGGACGTGACACAACAAGTGACTTCTGAAACTCCAACCACGAAACCGGCGAAAAACCCAAAGTGAGTGGCTGCAGGCAAAGCCATCGCTGAAAAAAAAAGACTGGCCTGCGAAGCACAGAAAAAAGCAGCTGCTGAAGCTGCTGTCATAATCTCAAATAACAAGGCAAAAGAAACTCCAGCCCATCCCTGTCCGGAGGACGAGAAGGAGGAGGACGTTAATGATGTTGGCGCAGACACACACACACTGCTAAAAACATTCTCAACATAAACTCAATGGCTAACTTTTGCCAGCATTGTCATTTCACTGATTGGGCTTTATTACAAACTTGAAGAGATAAAAAGCACAGCTTCTGCTGTTTTCAGCAAACCTGCGCAACCACCCTACAAACGGGCCTTGTCCCCGTCTGAAGGACAAGAAGGATGTACCACAATCAAGAAAAGGCATCCGCTCTACGGAATGGAAAATAAATAAAACTTTCCCTCATTTACATACAACAACAATGCCCATTCTTTGAAGGAAACCAGAAGTTGATGATCTAGAGGTTTTCATTAGCACTGCTGCTATTTTTGGGATAGGGCTGATGTGGACTAACTTCAATGAAAAGGTTTTCAAAACGGTCTGCCGTCTCATTTCTGCGCCATTCACAGCCGCTGACGGCGACAATTTACATATTAATTAAAAATTTTCAGCATTATGCTAGCACGGCTGACAACAAGCTCATGATCACTCTGACTGTCTTACCCACCAGCATCGGCTGGGTTAGAAAAAAGGTGGTGAAAAAGAACTTCACCTCTGACCCCAGCAGAAATGTAATGAACGATGCAAAGTTCACTGCTGTCATGGCTGGCAGCATCACACTGAAACAGTACCTTGAAGACCAAAAGATTCTCCCAACCAGTTAAAAAATTAAACATATTGCTATATGTGCAGTTGGCTAGTATCACAATCATGATCAGAGGTGCAATTGTTAATGCCGCTTCTTTCATCGACAGCAATTATCTCACTCCCTATTTGTCCAGCAATGGAAAGGCAACATTGGAAGAGAAAGAGTGGCATGACAAAGCCCTTGAAGTTTACCAAGCCGCTTACGCCAAATACATGCACGACCGCGCTAAACTTGTTGATTGGATCGCCACCAACACAGAGATCAAAGAACAGACAAGGCAGAACTCCACAGATACTGATTACGCTTTCTAACTCTACAACCAAACACACCCTGACAAGCCAATGACACCATCAAAAGAACCTCTTATTTTTATCAACCCAGTGAGAAGAAGAAACAAATCGAGTTGCTTTTTATGGACGGCAGCACGCTCGCTCTTGGCTATGCAGCTTTTCATTTTCTTTGAACTTTTGGGATTGTTACCATACATGCCTTGAATGGACTCCCAGCTCACAAAAGTCTACTACAGCCCCAAAGGCATTGCTGCAATTAAAAAATTAGTGGAGGCTGCGAAAGTCCCAAAAGAAACTGCCAAGCAATGGTTAATCAGACAAGCTTTTTGGCAGATCTACCTCCTGCACCTCGCTACATTCCTTGCCCAAAATTTCATGTATCAACACCCAACCTGGTCCACCAAGCAGACCTTCTTTTTCTGCCACACGCCAAGCTGCTACGTGATCGCAAGGTTTACAAAATGTACGCTGACCGTTGTCGACATGGCTAGCTGGTACACAGAAACTGAGCCTCTGACCTCTAAAGATTCTACTGAAGTTGCAAAAGCTTTTCAGTTGATTTACAAGCAATGCCCTTTGAAGTGGCCCTGCTGCTTCAAGTCAACCCCAAGCACAAGTTTATGGGAAATATGACCAAAGAGATAGAAAACCACAAAAAAATTATTCACCGTGGGCATACTAAAATTCACAGAGACCAAGCTAGTGCTGAACGTTTCAACTGCACACTGGCTGAGCGCTTGTTTGGTCATCAGTATGCTGTGGAAATGCTCCTGTCTTCTGGCCAGTAGTCAACTGCATGGGTCAAAAGGTTTCCTGATGTTGTTAGCGCTCTGCACAATGAACTGACCAGTCTTATCAGAAAAAAACAGCTGTCGCAATCAAAGAGAAGGGTGTTTCAGCAAAACTTTCCACTCCCTACTTAAGGCCTGCTGGTGTGAATGAAGAAAAGCTCCCCTCCAACATGAATGTTCACTATCTCTACCAGCCTGGCGAACTTGAAGGTGGGAATAAAAGAGCTACAGATTCAATCTGGTCTTTGAAAGTCTAGAAGCTTGAAAGAATTGTAACTAAGCCAGACAAGCCCGAAACGGGGTTTTGTCTGCAAAGAACTGTTGGTTGTCCCACCAAATACACAGGTTCTGCCTGCTGTAGTTGTTCTGTAACAAGAGCCGCTACTCCTCTTCTCCGGTTGCACTCCAGACAGGTCAGTCACACATTTCCCTTGCAGTGGGCCTTGCTATTGTCAAGCCAATCCATCAAACTGCTGCATGTCTTTTGGCACATACTCCCAGAGCATCTCTACACCACACCCAATGCATTTATTTCTTTGCAGCTCTTTGAGCTGCAATATGTAGTTTACTTTCATGTTAAACCCGTGGTACCATTTGGTTTCATCTTGGCACTTGTGGCCAACCAGTTTTTTTGCAATTATTTGCCACAGCCGCTACTCGCTCATGGGTTTTTTCTCCTTGGAACCCTCCTCTGGTGGACAAATGACCCATTTGAGCTGCTGCATATTTTCCGCACGCAACACTGCGAGGTAAGCGTGGTTGGAACACTGGAGATAGTCGTCCATAATCCAGACCTTTTGTGGGTTATAGATGTACTATTTCCAAACCGAGAGCAAGTGGTTCATCAGGGTATCCAAACACCGAGAAAAAAATGAAAGCAGGAGGCCGTAGGTCGAGTGCTTTTATTGTTTCGAGGTGTTTGGATACCCCGATGAAACACGAAGCACAAGTTTTGGAAATAACTTCTCATGATCACTCTTAAAGAAATAATAAACAGACTAGAATTAGAATTAGAATGAGGTTTGCTGTCTAACATTCCTTCCTCGACAATTTCAATATCAATGATGTTTTTTACTGGCGTAACTAACTTGCATTTATGGTGCGATTTAATTTATTCTGAGATGTGAAAGTTACTGGGGTTGCCAGCATTTACAAGTTGTTGTTCATTCAGGATGTATATCGCAACAAAGTCGTTCGAGAGATTTCGGTAGCCGAAAAGTGTGGAGGATGAGACGAAAAGTGTTGATAATGTAGTACCGAAATCAAAAGCTTATAAAACCAAATGGTCGTGTAAGGTTTTCGAGGAATGGAAACCGAATCGATTAGTGAAGTCCTCTACTTTGGAACCCGGCGGTCTTTTTACCACGAAAGACTTTGGAGGAGTGCAAACTTTGGAAACGGCCATTACAGATATGTCTCAACCACTGGATATCGAAGTTCATTCACAAAGTAAACAATTCTTCTGGGGAACGTTATCCTTCCCGTTTGTTGTACTCAATTATTTGCGGACTGAAGTGCCACCTTTCTGATGTAAATGGAAGTGCTGCATTGAACCCTTTGGACATGTCCGACCGAAGGTAAATTACATTTTTTGGGGATAAAATTTGGTTCGTGTAAACTACTTGTGTGTGTTATTGTTTTTACTACTACGTTTTTTTCTTTCGCTTTCTTAGGTTTGTGACATTGCAGTGTGTTTTGGATGCAGAAATGAAGGAAGCAACGCGAATGGGTGTGACTTTGAAAACAAAAGGAGACACATTGTAAAAGAAAGGTTATTTCTGAGTAATAAATATTCATTGATTTTGTGCCAGTTGTCATTGGGCATATTTTAGTGGTATATACCACTCTCACTGGAGAGTGGTATACTGTTTTTCATTGGGTATCCAAACACATGCACGTGATGTGGTATAAATCTTGTGGTTGGTAGTTGACCTCATGAATTATTAATGAGTTTGAGAAGGTGAGGTCCTGGCTCAAGTGGACCATCATTGAAAAGCCTAGCCACCAGTCATCAATTCTGACCGCCCTCTCGGCATTCTCAAACTCAACATTTACTACATCGTTAAGGACAAGCTTTTATTTACACTGTGTACCTGGGATAGGAACCGTAATGTTCTGTTTCCGAACAGCCCTTGAGGTGGTGAAAAAGAAGCACCTTGGTATCTGGAAAATCTTTTTTGTGCTTTTTGAGCAACAAAGCCTGTGCCCTGTTGCACACCTTCTGTCAGCTTGTCAAGATGAGGTTGCTTGGCTTCCAAGCTTCAATAAACCTATCCCATCCTAGGCATCTCTGCAGAGCCTTGCCCATTTCCTGAGATTGGACCTTGACAGACTGGAGGCAGATGCGCCTCTTCAAGTCTTTTAACTCATCATCTTTCGCCCTGTTATTGACCTCGACCTCTGTAATAGTCTGCCCTTTCCAGACCCAGCTGAGCAGCATGATGCCTGCAAATGGCGGTGCCTGGCCTTGATCACCGCAGCAGATAACCTGAACACCATGACCAACAGGCCAGTCAAGAAAAGACTCAAGAATATGCCGGGGCACCGTGCAGACCTTGTCCCAGATCATAACACATGGGATAAACGTCTGCCCCATCTGTTCTGGAGTCCAGTCTTATTTGCCACTCCACTGAAAGAAGCTGAGGTATGTCTGCCCTTTCACCCCCCTGGCCTGCATCTCTTTGGCAAGACGGTGGGTTGGGGTCAACATCAGGGGATCTCTCACCTGGAAGAGATCTTTTGCTCTTGTGGTTTACCCTCTGCCTCAGGGGCCATTGAGATAGCTCAGTTGGTGCCTTGTCAGTGGATCATCATAATGCAGCCTGGTTGATTGGATCAGCGGTTTGGCTTGTTTGATGTGCTCCGGCTTGGAATAATACTCAGCTCGCTGGTTGGGCAGGTACAACCACTCTCCCCTGTGATGCCACCGGGCCAGTCCTACATCCTTTTGACTCGTTTCCTTTCCCTCAAACAACACTTCAAATATCTCTTCCCATATTTCGTCGTTGCTTAACATTGGTATGTATGCGTCCACTCCTTCTAGTTTGTGCAGAGCTCTTTTCTGAATGTATAAACTTTCTGTCCCCACTTGGACAACTCTGTCAAGCTCAAACCTCTCCAACACTGAAATCACATTAACCCTTTGACCCCCAAGGACGTATATACACGTTCTGAGTGGTCGTGCTCTTTGTACCACTTGTGACCACATCAATTTAAATGTCACCAGATATTCTTGATAAGCAGATAGTAGAGCTAGGGTAGATCTATCCACACAATGGTCGGTTTTGGATATTGAAGGCATTCTGACAGCAAATTGAAAAAGAACGTTCAATTTTGGTGCAAAAATGGTGGTAAAATGGCCCACTATACCTATAATTGATCAAGGTCCCATTTCTAGGCTTTGCCCATAATTAACACACCTTTTTACGGCAGCCAGAAAGAATATGTAACGCAAANGTGGTAAAATGGCCCACTATACCTATAATTGATCAAGGTCCCATTTCTAGGCTTTGCCCATAATTAACACACCTTTTTACGGCAGCCAGAAAGAATATGTAACGCAAAAGGTAGCGAGAGTAAAAGGGCCAAGAAAAAGGAAAGGAAAGGGGCAAGGAAAAATTTTGGAATGGGTAATTGCCATAAAAAGTCCAAATTTTGGCTTATGCACATGCACCAAATTGAAATATTGCATATTTTTGTACCTAATCTTCGGGAAATCTATCTTTTTGGTAAAATAATAGCTTTTCAGCAAAACATGGGCCCATTAAGCGTCACTGGAGCCAAACAACTGATTTAACGGTTAAAAACAGCATTTTTTGGTGAAAGTATCGTAGTGAAAGGGTTAATGTGTGCGAACCCTAACATTGAAGCCCTCAGGTGAGGGTCCTGTGGCTGGGAGGTGTTGTAGTATGTCAAGATGTGTCCCAATTGGCACCTTTGAGGAGCACGGACCAATGTCCCGCTTTTGTGGGTGTCTTACCAGAAAGTCCAGCTCTCCTAGGTCTGTCACAAGTCTCCGTGCCAACCTCTTCCCATCAGCCTTGCTTCCCTACATGAACTTGCCTATTATGCTATAACCTTGATTGCGACTTTCAGGGAGCCACACTTGTTTGTTTGCCAAAGTTGTGATGACTTCACCTACTTTGAGCCTTTCTGGAATACACGACTCTGTCAAGAAAAACAGCAGAGATATTGGGACCCAACCTTTGTCAGCAAAATTCTTCCCATACCACGATTGGAACACTGGGTGGATTTTTTCTTCGAACTTCCATTCTTGGACCTCGGCGAATCCAGTGCTTGTCTGCTGGCAATGCGTGATTGATTGACACCCTGACCAATCTGTGCATCGGGTGAGCGAATCTTCTCAAATGGGGTTTGGCTTCACCTTCTACCTTAAAACTGATGGGGTAAAATGACTCCATTTTGATGCTTACCACGTCTCTCACATTGTAGCCTAAGTTCCAGAGCCTGCCATGCTCGTACTCCATGCATGCTCTTTGCACGTCATCCAGTGGGCTTGTCAGGGTCAGCTTCCAGCTGTTGTTTTCTTTGGCTTTAATGATGGCCACATGGTTCTCTCTGAAAACCAAGTGAGTCATCGCCCAACTGACAACATACCTCTATCAAGTGCTCATGGACTTCTCGCATCCTAAAAACTCGGCCATCTTCCAGCACAAACTGGGTCATATTTAGCTGTCTCCCTTCACCTACAAGCAGCCAAACCATCATCGGATTGTCCTTGGTTATCCTGATATATCCAGACCTGCCTTGCCTCTGGAAAGTGGATATCTTTGGACCAGGCATGGCCGTTGTGGTAAATGAGCTCAACTTTGCCTCTTACACCATTACCCCCAAACTGGTATTTCCCGCTGTTATAGATGTCCCGGCTGGCAATATCCTTCAAGATAATTGCTCTTTTGAGGATCTTTTTTCGATCAGCAACATTGTCCACTGTGGCTCCACGTTCGTGGACTCTTGCCTCCCACTCTTACATCTTCTGGTGCCTTACGTCTGTTAGGCCTTGGACCCTCAAAGTGCTTTCAAAATGTTCTATCACTCTCTGCAATACATAGTTAAGCCTGCCAACTCTCATAGGTGCAACGATGGTCTGATCTGGTTCTCTGATTGGGAACAACCCATACACAACTGCTGTCACAGGATAACCGTTTTGGTAATAGACCTGCTCGATCCCTGCCAATGCCCCTGGCCTGGTTCCTCTCGTTATGGTCAAAATTCCCTGTCCCCTTCCCATGTCTTCTCTGATTGGGTCCATCTTTTCTTTTACGAACCACTCTTTTTGACCCGTTCTTCGCTAAAAGCGAGTCTCAGGTTAAACTCGCCTCATGGAATGCTGCCAAGCAGCCTTGCCACTTGTTCGTCCACCATATGAGCATGAGACAATTTTGTTGCCGCCAAGCAGTTCTGCCTCTTGTACCCTCCATGTAGAGAAAACCGTACTGGCACAATCGACTTCAAACTCGTCTTTGGCAATGTTTACAAAATCGACCCATGGTTCACCTGGCCATGCAACCAGACGCGGAACTGTGATACCAAGATTAAACGGTCGATTAGGTTGTAATGGTTGCGAAGGTGCCATTTCACATCTTCTCAAATTGGAGCATAATACATTTGAAGCACATAGCTGTTATATCGCAAAGCAGTCATCATATATGCTGTCTGATAAAAAAGGCACAACTCTTTAAATGGAAATTTTTATTGCAGCCAAACGCTGAAACTCATTGGAAAACGCTCTCTTCAAACCGTCGCTTTCGTGCATGTATAACATGCAATACCCCAACAAGTGCACATCTGAGACTTATTTTATCTCCCACTCCGCAGACCAAACATAGCAACGGCAGCTGTACACCTTTTCTCAGTTTTGCCCTGTGAATGCTGCAGTAGTCTTTCATACAACTTTGAACGCAAAGCTCCGTTTTTGCATGTATCCTTACTCCTATTGTATACTAATACACGGGTATATGTGTGACCAACACTCCAAATTACTCGAGTTAATTCTTTACTTTCAAGCTTCTTAACTCACTTGTTTGCTCCTCCCTTCGCTTATCTCAAAGTCGGTTTATATAGTTCAAGTTTAAAACTGCAAGAACATTATTCACAAGGCAAGACAAAAACAACAGAGATTGTACCTTAGCTTGACAACAACTTTACCAACTTGATCACCCTAAGCAACAGGAAAATCAACAAAAATTAACATTTCTAAATGAAAATGGAATAACTTTACCTCTTGTTCCATTAGTATGCCCACTTGTAATAAAAGCTAATCAATGGAGAGTTAACTCTCAAAGTTAACAAAGACAAACTAAATAAAGACAACACACAAACCTAAAAATAAATCAATTCCAAAGTAAACAAGAACAATAAAATCGTAAACTAATGGATTACCAAAATAAATAGTATTTATTTGACATATACCCACAACAGCCACTTCAGGAAGATGTTTATTAGTTAGTACCACAAGCTAGTTGGAAACCAAACTACAGAATTGTTCCAGCATATGTTGAAATTGTATGAAATGGTTGGATGTTCTACCAATGAGCTACAGGGAACTTGTAGCAGCTAAGCCATTCATCATTAGAAAAATGAACAGCCCAAAGAAAATATCCCTGCTGATTGGTATAAAATTGTGTTTCTATTTTAACAGTTGAAACAAACTCGAATCGGGTCTGTTCAGTGCCTTATTCACTTGCGCTAACAAAGCAGCAGTAAGAAAATAGCGTAATTATATGTATAATAAAACTAGTGGCAAATGCCACGTTTCGGTGACTTCGTCGTTTAGCAAAACAATTGCTTTCGTGCAAAAAGGGTGTAAAGGTAGATAGCATTTTGGGCTGATTTTTATTTTTTTGCAGGATTGAGCTAATTTTTGGCAGACTGACTTGTTTTGACACGAAAAGCATCGTTGCGTAATTGTTTTTGTTGATTTGTGGTTCGTTTTCGAGAAATAACGTACGCAAAAAAACTCAGTTTTCCAAGGGTATCTCTTCGAGATCTCTTGTTGAACGAAAAACAAAAGAAACCTATTGTTTTGCTGAACGATGAAGTCACCAAAACGTGGCATTTGCCACTAGTTTTATTATACATATAATTACGCTATTTTCTTACTGCTGCTTTGTTAGCGCAAGTGAATAAGGCACTGAACAGGCCCGATTCGAGTTTGTTTTGTCATGACACCGGTTCGATATGAGGTCGGTCGATTATTTTACGGTCTATTTCTCTACTTCTCTGAAAAAATAAAAACATCTATTTAAAAAAAACCATGCTGTCGAAGCTGCTAAAAGTAACCATTTAAGTTTGCGTTGAGTCGAAATCCACCTTCGAAGGATTCGCTCCAAAAGATGCCGCTCGGAAAACTGAGTTTTTTGCATACATTATTTCTCGAAAACGAAGTGCAAATCAACAAAAGCAATTACGCAATGATGCTTTTCATGTCAAAAAAAGTCAGTCTGCCAAAAACTAGCTCGATCCTGCAAAAAGTAAAAATCAGCCCAAAATGCTATATACACCCTTTTTGCGTGAAAGCCTTCAATTAGATTATGAGCTTGAGATTTCTATTGCATGACAGTTGACGGGGGCCAGCCCGAGTTTACTATAATGCATACATGTAGAAATCGAGAGCAAATAATCCAGTTGTTTTAGTACAAATCTACTAGTCAATCAAAACTATATCTAAATCCTCTTCACAGACACTTTGAAAATGCAGAGACACTGCTGTCATTTTGTCAAGAACTGCAAACTACCATGCTACTCATTATCTACAACAGAATAGATAGTGAGAAGTGTAACCTATCAGAGAAAAGTAATTGTGATAATTTAAAGCACAAGTAGATTTATACTAAAACTTAATAGAAACAAAGAACTATCATGAGCTGTTGAATTTATTTATGTTTTGATGGTTTATATTTTGATGACCAAAGTAAACAAGTTGTTTCCTTTCTATAATGTGGAATTTTCTGCATGTAATTCCGAAAGAAATAGAAAATATGTTGTCTGTGTTTCTATCAAGTTATAGAAACACTTGTGGAAGTTTGGGAGAACTTTGAAAAGCTGAAGAAACACTTGCCTGTCAGCTCTGATTCACACAGCACTTATTGTTCTCCCAAACTTGTTTTCTCCCAAACTTGACTTGTTTCTATAACTTGGTAGAAACAGGGTACACATTTTCTATTTCTTAAATATAATGGTTAACCCATCTCAAATGTCAAAAACTTCCTGTACACTTCTGTCCTTCCGAGATTACCTTTACAATGTAGTCTTTTTAATACTGGGATTAGCTTTACAATGAACGGCTAAACATCTTTTCATACTGTATTTCTACCAAGCCTTCATATACATGTAACACATGCCAACACTTCCTTTCAACAACCCTTACTTTAATTAAAAAAACCAAACCATTAATTCCATAGAATTACAGTCTTTCCCGCAAAACCGTGAACATCAGAGAAAATGTCTGGAATGTTTATTGTCTCACGACCAATCAAATGCGAGATGAAACCGCAAAAGATAACCACCAAACCGCAGCATGGATTAGTCTTGACTTGACACGAAACAATGAGCTGGCTTTTTCTTCCATGACAAATCTTCAATTTTACCGTTTTCAAATACTGAAATTGCTCTTTTTCTATTTCAGCTTATGTATCAGCAAAGAATAGATATGAATGATATTTTACAGAAAAGCGATGTTGAATCGAGAAGACAGGATCAGACACAGCGAGACAGAGCATCTAAGAGCAAAAAAATGAGCCAATCACAAGCGATGCTGATCGGTGTTTGCTTCATGTGCAGTTCAAAAGGTCATGCTAGTTGGCTGTGATTGGTTTTCAATCTGTAGTTTTTGTAGCTGAGAAACCTTCACCCATGAGGCGAACTTGAACCGTTGTAAATTTTGACAATTTACACTTCCTTTTAGGTCCATTCGCTAATTTGGTTTTTGAACAGATGGAATCAATTGACTGGTGTTGGGTTGTGGTCAAAAACAGCACTTTTTCAGAGAGAACCAAAGGAGTGATGAACAGGATGTTTATGCAAACAGTAGCCTGCAGAGCAGGCAAGATTTTTTTGAGCGAGCGCTCACATCGTAAAAGTTTAGCCGCCATCTTGAATTTTTCATGCAATGGAAGACTGGGGAGAGAAAGAAAGTTTTACCAAGGGGGTGAATGATAGGCAACAGGAAGGATAGGGGAGAGGTGGAGCGAAGAAAATCTCGCCTGCCCGAGGTCATTGTTCTTTTAGGAAACTCCGTTCGCCCACGAACGGAGTTTCTGATTGGTGC